CAGTATGATTTACCGAGGAGAAGAGGAATCTAGGTCTCTGGTTTGCTAAGTTTTTTCACAGTGTGAATTCTTAATATTAGAAGGTTGAGCTAATACAGTCCTTGTGGAAAGGAGAATCGAGGTGGGTATTTGTCATGTGCAGCCATCCTTCTATATTTGGTGGACCATTTAAGATGTGTGTATCTATAGATGTGTATAAATAGATGTGGGTGTGTATGTAATTACATATGAGTGTGTGTGAAAGTATTTTTCTCCTGCCTTTGTGCCGGACCGTTGCGTGGATCCCAAGCCCATCCTCGTGGGTCAGGATGGACAGTCGTCTTTCAGATCTGCGGTACCCATCGCCCAAAACTCATCCACCCTGACAGCAGAAAGGCTTTCTGATGCTAGGATCCAAATTATTCGAGCTATAAGGAGCTTATTTTAAAAAACTGCAAAATTACTGAAGTAGTTTCTGCCTTCGAGGCGCACATGGCAGAGGGTCTCTGGTTGCTGAAGCACGAGCCATCTCCTACACCGAGAAACGCCGTGTAGGTAGCATCGAACCTCAGGGGCTCCTCCCGGTATGGTTCTGCTCGTTCCTCCTCAGCTGACGTGTCTATGGGTACGGACAGAGCCGTGAAAGGTGTAACCTTTGCGGTTTTGAAATATTTCAGTTTCTTCAGCTTGCCCTGGTGGCGGAGTATTCCCTGAAGTCCTTCAGATAGCTAAAAAATAATTGGTTTGACTGGGCATCATCTCGTGGAACCAGCATACAGGAAAGATGCTTAATGAGTTTTGATGGTGGATGAGGATTAAGACTTTATTTGTAAATATACTAAAATGTATTTAGGGCTGTGTCAGAGATATGAAAATTAAATAGTCATGTTTACAGAGCTGCTAAAAACCTGTTAATGACGGGCTGAGACCCATTTCCCACTGCGAAGGGCAGGATGGTCAAGTTAGAAGTCTTGAGTATGAATCAAAATATGGAATTCTAATGAAGCTCTAATAAAAGGGAATTAATCGAGTATACAAATCATTTTCTGTTACTTCAGTCTGTGCATCCTCATTGGTTTTTTTATGCATCCTTTCTCTCTCACTGGGGGCTAGTTTTGAACGTTTGTTTCCAAGTGCCCATGCTGGGGGGGGTGATGCTCTCCAGCTCCCCACCTCCCTGTGCCCCCCATCCTGCTCTCTGTTTGGTACCCTCTCGTCTCCATCACCCCGCATCCTGGACACACAGGGGCTCCCCTCTTCCTCTGGAAATGGGCAGATGTCCTGATTTTCCTGAGTGGCGGGAAGGAGCCCGTGGAGACCCACCAGCCAGGGCAGATCACAGGACGGGGCAGAAATAGCGAAGGAGAGTGACGGGTGACTTTGAGGATGTTTTGATGTTATATATTGGTATTGTACAAGAGGACTGCCGAGAGGAAAGCCTGATAAGGAGCGAGGTGGGTTTTTTTTCAACACAAAGGAAAAGCAGATCACCGATGAATCAAAGCTTTTTTGTTTCCTGTTTGTATTCACTGAAACTTTTGCTTTAACTCCCGGATGGAGTGGATCGGATACAGTAATAGCCTATTGATAGGCAGCCGGGTGATTTTTATATAGAAAAATCAAATAAATCTCTCAGCTACTTCCCCACTGGCTTCAAGGATTGTGACTATTCCCAAGTGAATCAGCTCTTTCCATTGGGAAGGACCCTGGAGGCAACAGGGGTTGGAAAATCTTAGACCTCTCCTAGTTGGAGGATTTGTGTAATTTTTTTTTTTTTTTTTTTTTTGAGCATTTGGGCAGCCTCTGTGCGTAACAGCGGGCTGGCCATTGCCACCGCGGAGGGATGGAGGTACTCACTGCGGAGTCGTTCGGAGTCAGTGATCTTCACAGTGCTGTCAAAAAGAGCTATAAGAGCCGTGCAGAAAAGGGGGTTTTGGCAGAAAATTCTGAGTGATGTTTTTGAGGATGTGCTCTGTAAGGAGGTCGCTTGCTGTGCTCGTTTTAGCTTGTGACACCAGTCCAGGTGAAGCAATCTGCAATCAGCAGCGTGCGTTAGGTGATCGTTGCCTTTTCTGCCATTCATACTTTCTGAACCCTTAAGAAAATTATTTTTTTTTAATTCTCTAGATGAAGGTGTTCTCTGTTATGTTTATATTCTCTGATTGAAGAGCGTGTGAGTGTATGTGTGTTTTGCATAAACATTTTAGTATGGAAACTTGAATTTAAATTCGGTATTTCATAAAATAATTCTGAGCGGTTTGGTTTGAATGAGGCTGTACTAACGAGGCAGGCTGTACTAACGAGGCAGGCTGTACTAATGAGGTATGCTGTGCTTCCTAGAAAGAGGGTAAAGCAGAAGGTAAAAATTTGGTGAAATTACATTATCCAATATTTGGAAAAACAATAAAATTGTTGCTTCAGATAAATAGCAGATCGTTCAGCAGAAATATTTGTAGTAGCTTTGAGCATTTATATTTATTTATTTCGTGCTGTCAGTAATTCAGTTTTCTATGAAAAGTTTGGTCATATTGAATATTTGAAAAATATCTTAATTTCCTAAATATTCCTGCCATCTCTGGCATAGAGATGTTTACTTGGTTCTTATTTCAATATTTTACATATTGTTTGGAAAAGGAAGATGTTACGGCACCTGGCTTGAATAGGGTTGGGTTGTTGTGTGCATCTGCTGGGTTGGAGCCGGCTGAGGACTGCTGCTTCCAGAGCCTCTGGGCTCAGAGCTGATTTAGTCAAATAGGGGCGAGAAAAGGCACGAAGAGCTGGTCCTGGGTGTGGGCTCACCTCTGAGAGTGTTGGTGTCGACGTGATTGTTAATTCACGAACTCTGTGCATCTTCTCTGGAGATTTCATAAGCTGAGGCTGCTGCGTTTTAACCGTAGCAGAATTAAATGTGTTTCTCCACCGCAGATAGGTGTAAACTGTGATTGAAATACAATCTGATAATCCTTTTGCTTTGAATAACACCGGAGGAGTAGAAAGGCTGGTTGGGAAATTTCTGATTAGTTTTGTAATAAGCTTCAGGACAGGAAGATCTCTGTGAAGCTCCGTCTTGCTGGCCCTCAGTAAACAACAGAAGAACACAGAATCTTGCCACAAAAATTAGTTTTGCAGATGAAGGTGTATATATAACTCACGCTTCCAAGCAGAATAAACAAAAGTTTTCAGGCTGAGTTTTATCTGAGTGACGGTACACTGCAAAAGGACTGGGGTTTCTCGTGAATTTACGGTGAGTTGGTGCTGGAGCACAGCATCCTCTCCAGCTGCCTGCCTCTTGGCTGGGTGTGCAGAATAAAACCCTTCACTCCTGGTCTTCCCCACGTTTTGGGGAGATACAGTTTTCATATTTGGCTTACTACAAGGAGAGGCAGCAAATTTACTGTTGTGACCATGGCTGTGCTAATAATGAGTTGCTAAATTATTATTATTTTTTTACCCCCTAAATAATTTGTTCTAATGGAAAGTTTCCAGTTTCTCCAGCAGAAAACTGACGCTAAGATATGTTTAGCTGATTGCAGAGTATTTCAGCAGAAAATAAAACCATTTTAGTATGCTGCCTTGCTGTTCCAGAGACATTTCGTTTTAGTGCCTTATTCCCCATCGTGCTCTGCCTCTTGGAGCTCCTCCAGCCTCCATGACACGTGGCAGGTTCTGGCCCGAGACGCCCGCTGTCCCCTCTCCCAGTGTCCCCCCTCCCAGCAGCGGGTCTGGCTGGCCGTGAACCTGGGCAGGCAGATGAAGGATGCGCTGGTGCTGCGTTATGGAGGGGTGGTCCTGGTCTGCTGGATAGGGTGGGGAAAGTCCTTGGAGCCTTAAATACAGCTTTGGAGGCAGAAAAACAAGGAATTCCTCTTCCAAAAGGTTGTTGGACTGAAGGATGCCACAAGGACAAACTTCCTTCACCTTCTCATCCCTTCTCATCACAAACATTCATCCCTTTTTGGGGGAGCTCCTTCCTTTCCGTGTATGTTGTGTTTCTGGTGGAGAAGGACATTGGCCAAGCGCCTTTTGGTGCCGTTTACCTGTTTTTCTGTGGATTCAGCAGCCGAGCCCACTCTCTCTGCCTGCTGCTGTTGAGGTGGATTTGTGCCCTCCGCCTCCTCCAGCAGAAAAGGTTTATTTCCATCCACCACGTTTGCAGCTGGAGGGACCAGCTCCGCAAATTGCGGTCCCTGAGGAGTCTCATCGTTTCTGCAGCAAGTGATGATAGAGCAGAGTTTAATTGCCAGCCATTAATCCCCAATATTTCATGTTCCCGTAGCACATTACATAAATATACCTCGTGCATTGTTCCAAGGGGAATTTAGAAGCATATTGTCTTGGTGTCAGGACCACCACCACCACGTGGTCACAACACCGCCTCCCCGCCCCCACTCCCCTCCCGGTAAGATGGGGACGAATAAGAAAAGTGGAACCTCCTGAGTTGAGATAACGACAGATTTTTAATAATACCACACGAGGAAAGCAAAAGAAAGAAGAATATAA